AAAAAAAAAAAAAAAGAAACGAGGGAGCACGAAGTGACAGAAATCGAGGGAGAGTCTGCACTCATGGCTTTTCATGTGTGTCTTTTTCTCCTTTAAAAGTCAGGAGAGTCAGGCATGGTGGCACATGCCTGTCATCCCAGCAGCCTGGGAGGCCGAGACGAGAGGACTGCCTGAGCCCAGGAGTTCAAGACCAGTCTGGGCAACTGGTGAAAACCCGTCTCTACAATAAATCAAAAAATTAGCTGGGCGTGGTGGCACATGCCTGTGGTCCCAGTTACTTGGAAAGCTGAGGTGGAAGGACTGCCTGAGCCCAGCAGCTCGAGGCTGTGGTGGCCATGAGCGTGCCACTGCACCCCAGCCTGGGTGACAGAGTGAGACCCCAGTTTAAAAAAAAGTAAGGAAAACTTGAACTCCCAGAAGATGATTTAGGGGTATAATAATCCCTGTAACAAAGCTACCTTGGAACACAGTGAATTCACACCCCCAACTAAGGTTTTGATACTATCCCCAAAGACTGGCCAAAGACTGACCCCTCCTCCTGGTATTCACACCCTGTGGAGCCCACCTTGCGTTGGGTGGGCCTGCGTGGCCAACAGCACATGGAAGAGTGACAGCATCTCCGAGGCTAGCTTAGGAGACATCGTGTCTTTTGCCTTGCCACCTCCTGGATGCTCATGCCGGAGGAAGCCAGCGGCCACGTCTGAGACACTCGGGCAGCTCTGATGAGTCCCGCTGGTGATGAACTGAGGTCTCTTGCCAGTGGCCAGCAAGGGACTGAGGCCTCCTGACAACAGATATATGCGTTGGCAAATTTCAGGGCAGACCCTCCAGTACTCACCAAGCCTTCAGATGCTGCAGCCTTGGACCAGACCCCCATCAGAACCACCATCCTGGCTGGGCGCGGTGGCTCAGCCTGTCATCCCAGCACTTTGGGAGACTGAGATGAGAAGGTTGCCTGAACCTGGGGGTTCGAGACCAGCCTGGGCAACTTGGTGAGACCTCGTCTCTACAACAAATCAAAAATTAGCCAGGCGTGGTGGCGCATGCCTGTAGTTCCAGCTACTTGGAAGGCTGAGGCTGGAGGATCGCCTGAGCCCAGCAGGTCGAGGGTGCGGTGGCTGTGAGCATGCCCCTGCACTCCAGCCTGGGCGACGGAGTGGGACTCTGACTCAAAATGAAAAGAACCACCAGCCTAGGCCATTCCTGCCCTCCCAACCTCAGCAACCCGGTCATGTTTGCCACTTCAAGCTGCTAAGATTTGGGACACTGAATATACTGCTCCATTATCCACCTTCTACCACATGAAGTACTTGGCCCTTTATAAAATTCCTGGGTTTAGCCAGGCTCGGTGGCTCAGCCTGTCATCCCGTGCCTTTGGGAGGCTGAGGTGAGCGGATTGCCTGAGCCCGCGGGTTCGAGACCCGCCTGGGCAGCGAGACCTCATCTCTACAATAAATCAAAAAATCAGCCGGGTGTGGTAGCGCCTACTAATTCCGGCTACTTGGAAGGCTGAGGCGGAAGGATCGCCGGAGCCCAGCAGGTCGAGGCTGCGGTGGCCGGGAGCGGCCACTGCGCTCCAGTCTGGGCGACAGAGTGAGACTCCAACTCAAAAAAAAAAAAAAAAATTCCTGGGTTTATGCTCTCACACACAGCATCATGAAATAAGAATTAGCCAAGTTCTGGAACTCGCATTTTTCAAGTGTTTTCAAATGTCAAAGTGCTTCTCTGTGTTCGAGTACCATGTGTCATTTCAAACACAGCCAACGATAAAGGGTTTGTCATGTCCTACATAAATGCACACTGTGTGTCTATTCTGTGACACACAGAATAGACAGCTAAAAGGTGGTGTTTGATGTGTCCGCTGCTTTGTTGTGGCTTTTAAGTACAAAAAGTTTCGTAAAAGAAGTCTGCTTTGTTTTCTTTTCTGTACAGGAGTTCAATCCTCATCTGCCTGATGACGGTTCCTGTGGGGTCTTCACTCGTTCCCAGGCAGAAAAAGCCGAGGGAAGAACCTCCACAAAGGAGCTCCCGAGCCTGATCAGAGGTGTCAGAGCTCAAGGGAGAAAAACACCACGGGGCAGAGGCGCAGGTGGGGCGTCGGGGAACACAGGGTGCGGGAAGGAACGCCGCTGGGGACGCAGAAGCCAGCAGCGGCCTGAGCACATGAAGTGGGTTGGTCAAGGCTCCGGAAAAGCCCGCAAACGGTCAGTGACAGGACAGCAAGACGTCGCGGAGCAGCATTCCCAACACACAGAATTCAGGGACGTTCAGAGTGCAAGACACGGAGTCTGGAGGGGGCATCAGAGATGCTGCAAGAGACAGCAGAGGGTGGCGGTGACAGTCACGTAGCAAAGCGTGACCGGATGTGACCTGGCGCCCAGAGCATCCCCACATCCTGGCGGGTGGGCGCCCACTCGGGTTGGTAAGGTGGCTTCGTAAGGAAGGTACTCCACGGCTCTGTGTGCGATGACTTGAAAATGTAACTCTGTACACTTATCCACAGCACCCACGTTCAATTATTCTGAAATGACCTATTTGGTTGAAGTCCCACACTGACGTCCAGGTGAGCCCCTCCTGTGGTGACCGCGGTGGCCTGGGCAGCCTCCCGCTCCTGGACCGCGCGTGCCTGAGTCGCCGGGCGAGACGGGCCGGGGAGGCCCAGAGCAGGCCCGAGTGGCGGCGGCGGCCCGGCCTCGCTGCGACCCAGGCGTGGTCGCCCTGCCGGCCGCGCCCCTCCCCACACTCTGATGAGGACGCGATGCACCCCCTTTCCCTCAAAGGCCTGTCTGTTTCCCGCGCTGGCCCACCAAGACGACACACGCGTGTCTCCTCGATGACGATGCTTCTGCAGCTGGGCTCACGGAGACGGAAGCTCCCAGAGGGCAGGGTCTGGCGGGCCAAGAGTGACTTCGCGAAGGCACAGAAACAGAACTTACAAGAGTCAACGAGTCAGCAAGATGTGCCATCACTTTTTTATTTCGCAGTAATAGAAATACATCCACGTCGCAGTGCTTATTTTGGCTAAAAGTCTGTGCTCTTTTTTTCTGCTACTGTAGTGTTTTACTTTTATACAAATTAATGAGTGCAGTCTTCACATTTAGGGAATAGACACACTGAGAGCAGCCAAGTGCAGCTAATACATGATTGTTCCCAAACTAAACAACCCAATAACATAATCATTAGAAACAAGGCAGGGATGTCCATTAATCACAGATTATATCAACTCTTAAGTCTCACATATGCATTTCTTGATGTAATTAATCCAAGCAAAAACCAAAAGATTTGAATTCAGCCTAATTCTTATAATCACTTGGAAATGTACATCACATAATTTCTGAAGATATAGTCATGTTAAAATAAAAGCCAATGGGCTATAAACATAATTTAAAATTTCTGATTATGAAAGGTCACAGAGACGTACATTAAATGTTACTTTGGCATTCCTATTGCCTGCACCTACAGAAACAATAAAATAAGACATTCTTTTGTAATGAAAATAATCACTTTTTGGAAATCATCTAAGTAGAAAATGTTACATCTTAAAAAAAAAAAAGAAAGAAAATATTACATCTTAAGGCATGAAAACATTGTGAATATCTTTTATAAGTCAGCTAATTCAACAAATTAATAGAATCGTAGTAAATTGACACAAATAAAGAATATTACTTTATGAGAAAGTTCTTTGGAGCTTACTCTTACAGTGTGGAAAACTTGGCTTCTTTTTTTAAAATATAGTTCCATTTTGACATTTAATAAACATACTGTTAACCTTCAATAAGTAAGTACCCTTTAGTTGAATTGAAATGTAGAGAAATAAAAATATAGAGAAAGCAAAAAACAAATATATGTCACTTGAACATTTATCTTTTTTCTTCCAGAAAAGAAGATTTAAAAAACGACTTCCCCAGGGTATCTCAAGACCCTCCAACGATCTGCACAAGAAGTAGTCGGCAGGGCTCACGGTGACAATGACGTCTTTCTGAAAATAACACCATGTTTAAGTGTCATACAGGGTTTATCCTAAAAGGCTCTAAACTAGTTTAGTCATTTTTTTTTATTTTTAAAAACAGCTTTTGCTGTTTAACTCAATTTTAAGGCAAATGGAAACTGGCATGTATGTCTTCGGTACCCTTCTGTGGTCAGAAATGTTCTTTTTAAAAAGGTGTTTCCTTTAAAGTTCACGTTTCTTCTCTTGCAATAGAGAGGCTCTTCCTATGTGTATTGCCCTGAAATTCTATTTGGTCACTCTTATCCTTTTTGTGAAAGGCCACAAAGAAAGCATCTTGCTAAAGCAGTAGCTACTGACTTGACCAGAAACTCAGCAAACTCAAGCCCTGAATTTGACAAACCAACCCCTTGAATATGAGCAACTCCAAAAAAAAAAAAGTGAAATGTAAAAGAGAAAACACAAACAAAACACCTTCCAGAAAACCATTCAACTTCTCTGGTAACATATACTCCCCAGAGTTATCTTATGTGGTAGCAGCATTGTCAGACAGTGTAATTCTTCAAAGTTGATTTCAAACCATATCTTTCTCAAATAAAAAAGCAATTGAGTTTACTTAGAACTTTGCTTATACAACCGCAGCCCGCAAGTGGGTAAACTGATACAAGCAACACCGTCTTACCTACGCCGTAACGGGAACGTGCAAAGTGCGAACACGCACACAGTCTACGTGGAGTGTCATTCAAGACCAGTGGCACCTCAACAAGGTGGAGACACGTAATATTAAACAAGTAAAACAACGCATGATGGAATTTTTGGTTCTGGTACTTCCAATCACACTCCTCCATGAATAATAAGAATTATAAATAGGTAATTATTAAATTCAGAATCTGAGGATCTAGACAGTCAAAGACAGAGAGATATTTCGCATGCTTAACACTGCCACCTACACAACACACGCAAAGCGGCGTCGTGATCCTGAACTTCACATTCTGTAATTAAATGGCATAAATGCACCCCATACATAAACTTAAAGTCTTAAAAGAGCATGTTTTCCTCACTTTTCATTTTCTACTCATTAATCAGAGACCAGGCACTTTAATCTAAAAACACACTCTAAAAAATGCATATTCGGTCCTCCATCCAACTCACTCCCAAGAAGAGCAAAGCTCGCTCTGGGAGCAAACGCAGCACGTCTAACCCACTGGCCTGTGAGGCAGCCACTTCCAGCAAGCAGGTATGATTTAGAAACAAGACGGACGCAGCCCTGAAAGTGCCGATGTGCCCCACAGAAGGGCCTCCCTCGTCAGACAACCTGTGTGATCACACATAATCGTAAGAGACATGAAATACACGTCCGCATCTTGAAAACATCTTTGTTTCAAAACCTCACTGAGATTCAAAGTATGACTATCTTAAAAATATGGACATAAGCCGGTCGTAATCCCGGCACTTTGGGAGGCCGAGATGAGAGGATTGCCTGAGACCAGCCCGGGCAACTTGGCGAGAAAGAAAATAAATTAAAAAATTAGCCGGACATGGAGGCACAAGTCCATGGTTCCAGCTACTTGGAAGACTGAGGCAGAAGGATCACCTGAGCCCTGAAGGTCGAGGCTGCGGTGTCCCTGAGTGTGCCACTGCACTCCAGCCTGGATGACAAAGTGAGACTCTGACTCAAAAAAAAGGGCATAATATGACAAAGTTCCAGTATGCTGAGTTCACTGTAGAAACAGCCAACAGCTGGTTTCGTAGAAGGAGAAAATATTTTACCGTATCAAGTTTAGTACTTTCAGGTGGTGAGAGACAGTCTCAAAATGACACAAAAATGGTAGATTTTAAACTGTCTTAGTTAATTAATGCTATCTTTTTAATCAATATTCATTTAAGGGAAAATGCTCTAATCTATACAAAAATAAAGGGAAATTCCTCAGTTTCTCCATTGTAACTTATAGGACTAACAGTAATATATATATATATATATATATCAGAAACTACAGTTAATATAAAGCTATAAATTGTAAACTTCTTAATGTCAATTCATTTAAAATGTTTTATAACAACACTCAGTGATTACAATTTCTTTGATTCAAATACATAAGCAAATGCACAAGCGATATGTGAGCAGTACATATTAAATACCATTGCTGCCTAAACGCGATGAACAAATGAATAACTTTGGAATTAAAAATATACTTCTAGGCAAAGTTAACTATGTTGACACTAGCGCAACATATTCTTGCGTATGTGGGCCACAAAGGTCCTGGCTAACGTGTGTATTTTCAAGGTGCAAAGCCTAAAAAGAGAGCTTTTGAGAATGACACTGGACATTTCAGATAGCTTCAAGACAACAAATCAATTAACTCCCAAGTATCGGCTTCAATTCAAGCAATATTCCCGCAGAATACACAATGTTTCACAGCTGAGATAACTACCCAGAGATTGCAGAAAGCCACTTTGGATACACTACACACGGATTCAGAGGCGAACTTCTGTAGATGTGCAGGACAGCCGCTTGAGTCTTATGAGACATCTTTTCTTCCCTGAGTCCATATGTGCCGATTCTGCTGATTATGCAATATACATCACAAAATCCACAATCACCTTCACATACTTCCTAGCACATGGAGCTGTCGCTTCTGTGCCACCTACTGCACCCTGGCTTCCAGCAGCCCGCTGGACACGACAGGCCCATGGCTACCTGTGCAGCCACTCGTGTGCCTCAGGGCGTCCGCCCCGAGATAGGCCATCAGAAGCTCGGTGCGGCCGCTGAGGAGCTGCATGAGGTCTTCGGCCAGCGCCTCTAGACTCGAGTAGCGCACCTTCTCAAAGTCAAAAATGTCTTTGAGAAAGAAGAGAACTTGATTCTGGAAAAGAAGCACAAAGCAAAGGGGGACGTCTTAGAGCAAGACGGTGTTCCATGTGAAGTATCACTCGTGAGCACTGAACCAGAAGTCAGGACCTGAGCTCTGGTGCTGATCTCGTATCTGATGGAAAAGGGACCTTGAACTTGCGACTTCGCCCTTCTGGGGTCTCCTTTCCTTTTTCCACAGAATAAGGAATGATACTGCCTGCTCCATTTACTGCTCAGGGACAGCGTGGTCATCAAAACAGACCATCTGTCTGCAGGAAGTGCCCACGCACCGAGAGGCTCTGTGTCCATGGCAGGGCCATTCACCCTCTTCCCTCAGTGCTACCGCTGAGCAGTGGTTCTCTTTAAGACAGAATAAACTATTTCCAGTCATCATAAACTATACATTTTACCTGACTTTATTTTATTTTTTGAGTCAGAGTCTCACTCTATCGCCTAGGCTAGAGTGCAGTGGCGTGCTCACGGCCACTACTGCCTTGACCTGCTAGGCTCAGATAATCCAACCACCTCAGTTTTCCAAGTAGCTGGAACCATAGGCATGCACCACCACGCCTGGCTAATTTTTTGGTTTTTTGTAGAGACGGGGTCTCACCAAGTTGCCCAGGCTGGTCTTGAACCTCTGAGCTCAGACAATCCTCTTGCCTCAGCCTCCCAAAGTGCTGGGATTACAGGTGTGTGCCTGGCTATAAATTCTAAATTCTAAATGTGCATTTTTCTGTACCCCCAAAAACTCTTAAGGCAAATGAAAATAAAAATAATTTCAGGTCTCAAATCAATGTAAGATCCTGAAGGATATTTCATTTGAGTAAGTTAATACTCAGGCTGAAACTCATTTTAAGCAAGTTGTATCCCTGCATTATATCTCAGCTGTTATGTCATCATAATGTGAAATAAAGGAATTCCAAAGAGTACCAACAAGAGTATTTCACTTCAGCCAGGCACAGTGGCTCATACCTGTAATCCCAGCACTTTGGGAGGCAGAGATGAAAGGACTGCCTGAGCCCAGGAGTTTGAGACCAGCCTGGGCAACGTGGCAAGACCTCGTCTCTACAATAAATTTTTTAAAAATTAGCTAAGCATAGTGGCATATACCTGTGGTTCCAGCTACTTTGGAGGCTGAGGCAGAAGAATCGCCTGAGCCCAGCAGGTTGAGGCTGTGGAGGCCGTGAGCGTGTTGCTGCACCCAGCCTGGGTGACAGAGTGAGACTTCGACTGGAAAAGAAAAAGAATGATCTCACTTCTATCCTCCAGAAACCAAGTGTTAAGAATTGCTAAGGAGCCATACTTCATCAGCCTACTAGATTTCATGTCTAGAAGGGTTGTCAGCCATCAGCCTCTCAAGCCCCTCACTTCTCAGCTGGAGGAGGAGCAGAGAACGACCCGCCAGGTGAGACTGCACTCAGATGGTGGACAACTCCAGCTCCGCGGCCCACACCAAGGCACTGCCTCACATTTGCGTGGGCAGGCAAACTAGTCAAAAATCAATGCGTTCTGCCTGAGCGTAAAATAAACATTTCCCAAACCTTTCACACAAATATTATAGGAACAGCACGCAGACATAATAATGCAATTTTTAAAAATGAACAATATAGTAGAATATCCAAACTTTCACATTCTTACTTGGTCATATTTTTATCTGCGCCTTGAAACACCGTCTGAACTCAAGATGATTAGAGACACTTTCCTCGGCCAGAGGAGTCTGCAATGAGCTGCAACTTGCCTTCTGGCAAACCCCAACTGCTGACTTGGAATACAGCTTTACACCCCTGCACTATTTCTTTCTCAGATCTTGGATTCTATCAGTCACAGGCCCTTAGCCACAGCAGACTCTGCATGACCACGTACGCAATAAAGACGGGCATCGTTTGTTTATAAATTTCAAGAGTGCCCTGGCATGAGGAACAATCCATCTGCCCCATGGTAACATGGCAACACCATGCAAGACCACGTGTCCTGCTGCACAGGAGGTGATAAGGCGAGTGGACTTGGGAGTCTATTCCAGAGTAAATCACCAAATTTATAAAATGCTGGTTCATTACAATACTCGTGCAAAATGCCAAAACTATCCAATACTGGCATTTAAACACTGAACTTGGGTGACTTCTATCACTTATTTATTTAAGTCAGGATCTCACTCTGCTGCCCAGCTGGAGTGCAGTAGCATAATCATGGCTCACTGTAGCCTAGACCGCCCGCCTCAGCCTCCTGGGACTACAGGCATGCACCACCACCCCCAGCAAATTTTTGATTTTTCTGCAGAGACAAGTTCTCGCTATGTTGCCCATCCTGGTCTTGAACTCCTAAGCTCAAGTGATCCTCCAGCCTTGGCCTCCCAAAGTGCTGGGATTACGGGTGTGAACTACCATGCCTGGCCAGCTTTACTTTTCAGTGACATTCTGGGCCGGGGTCGGTGGCTCAGCCTGTAATCCCAGCACTTTGGGAGGTGGAGGTAGGTGGATTGCCTGATCCAGCGGGTTCGAAAGCAGCCTGGGCAATTTGGCAAGGCCTTGTCTCTACAATCAAAAATCAAAAATTAGCCAGGTGTGGTAGTGCGTGCCTGTAGTTCTGGCTACTTGGAAGGCTGAGGCATAAGGGTCGTTGGAGCCCAGCAGGTTGACGCTGGGGTGGCTGTGAGTGTGCCACTGCACTCCAGCCTGGGCGACAGAGTGAGACTCCGACTCCAAAAAATAAAAAATAAAAATAAATAACATTCTTTCTTCTACAAAAGCAAAACACAACAGAATAAAACCCTATCTACTTTTGATTTAGACAAAAAGAAATGATTCAATGAGTAAACATACCTTAAAGAAGCAACATAAATCATAGAGGGAATTTCTAGGCCCCAAAAAGCCCCAGGCTAGGACAGGGCTGATGTGTTCACAAATGGCATAAAAATGGGCAAAAAATCCATCCGGGATCTGTGGGGAAGCAAAGGGGAATGAATCAAGTTATTTCCACCTCCCTGAATCTGCTTTCTCTAGCAGGGAAGCTGGATGATTATTCATCACACAACCAGCTCGTTCTTCTCTAACTCGTTTTTTAGAAATTGGTCTTATGACACCTCAAGCGACCTTCCCTCTTCAGCCTCTCGAGCAGCTGAGACCACAGGCCCGTTCCACAGCACAAGGCTCATGGCCAGCTGGTTGTGAAGGCAGACCAGGGGTCAATCATGAGCCAGCCCATTAAGAAAGTTAAGGAACGAACAAGTAACTTTTAGGGTCCTACGATGTTTTAATGTAGATTTAGGATCTTACCCAACAGTTTCAGATGTGGTGAGAGACATTTCTAAAAGATTTTTTCACTTCATAAAAATGCTTCATAAAAGAAGCAATCGTATCAGTGTTGCAAACTGAGCAGTAACAAGAATGCTACAGTATTTCCTAGCTGTTTAATTTTTAGTATTTTTTTTTTGAGCTGGAGTCTCACTCTGTCACCCAGACTAGAGTGCAGTGGCTGCTCCCGGCCACCGCAGCCTCGACCTGCTGGGCTCCGGAGATCCTTCCGCCTCAGACTTCCAAGTAGCCGGAATTACAGGCGTGCGCTATTTTTTTTTATTTATTGTAGAGACGAGGTCTCGGCTGATTTTTGATTTATTGTAGAGATGAGGTCTCGCCAAGTTGCCTGGGCGGGGCTCGAACCAGTGGGCTCAGGCAATCCACTTGCCTCGGCCTCCCAAAGTGCTGGGATGACAGGCTGAGCCACCGAGCCTGGCCAATTTTTAGTATTTTTAAGACTGCCACGGTTTTAGCTATTTAAAAGCCCTACTCAGTCACTTAATTATATTAACTGAAAAAAACTAAAATGATTTTTAAATGAGTAAGCACTAAATTACTCTTATTAGAATTCTAGCCAATAGCTAAGAAACTCGATATTATTTAAGCGTTTAATTGTGTAATTGCATCATCTCGTAAAATATTAGCACAGATACTTATGTGTCACGAAACTCTCTGAGTTTATTAACTTTCTGGATTTCCACAGTTCAACAAAACCCTGTGGGATGTGTTATACAGCATCGACAAGGGAAAACCTTTGCCTTAAGGTGCTGTCTCCTGGAGGGGCCATGGACCGGAAAAAACAAAAGACCAAACACTCTGCAGAGCTGATTCCAGACCTAAAGGCGCCCCCCCAGCTGAAATGCCACGATGCCTCAATACGAGGAAGGGGGAGGCAATCAAAGAAGCCCCCGCTCCCAGAAGCCACCCGTCCAGCCTGAGGGACGGTCCCTCCTCTCGGCTGCCTCCTCCACAGCAGCTGACTCAGGTGTGTTTCTCTGACAGAGCCCCAAGCGACTTAACCCGGGCGCCCAAGCTCACCTTCATCTGCTGCTGCTTCTGCCTCAGCACCGACCAACAACTTGAAGCCACCGCCTGAACGTACACAGAGGAGAGAAGCAAGACTTAATGGACGGCCACTCAAAGCTTCCACCTAAGAGAGTGCGATTTTTATTAGAAGCTCAATGTTTATGGGCCTGAAAAGTTCAAAACATTAACTACTAACAAGAACTAGTCCAGCCCTTACACCTCTTATACTTCTACAAATAGTAATGACAAGGTATTTCATTTTTAAAATTTTAAAATTAAGCACAAGGCTACTCAAGGAAAAAGGCTGCACTCCGATATGAAGGAGATGGGAATTAGAATTCAGTTTTCGGGGTTCTTCAATTCTCTTCCTAAGGGAAAAAGGTGAAAATATGTGTATGGAGATGCACACATAAATAAACGTCCTATGTGTAACAATAAAGTAGCTTTTTTTCCTCCAGGAACAGTACTTCTGGAATATTTGTGGGTGGAGCTCACAGTTTTATTCAGAGAAAGAACTGAGAAATACAGCCATGATAGGACCAAAGCTGCGAGTGGATCCTGAAGAAATCTCACCGTACTCTAGCATGACCCAGCTTTGATCAAGCTCACTCCACCAAAGCACTTAAAGACATAGGACCATGGACGTCTTATCACATACTTCTTTTTTTTTTTTTTTTTTTGAGTTGGAGTCTCACTCTGTCGCCCAGACTGGAGTGCAGTGGCCACTTCCGGCCACCGCAGCCTTGACCTTCTGGGCTCCGGCGATCCTTCCGCCTCAGCCTTCCAAGCAGCTGGAACTACAGGCGCGCGCTACCATGCCCGGCTAATTTTTTTGATTTATTGTAGAGATGAGGTCTCGCCAAGTTGGCTACGCGGGTCTCGAACCCGTGGGCTCAGGCAATCCACTCACCTCAGCCTCCCAAAGGCACGGGATTACAGGCTGAGCCACCGAGTCCGGCTATCACATACTTCTTACAATTAAGACATACTTAACTGAGGAAAGGTCGGACTGACTTAAAATGCTTTAAAATTTAATCTCAGGAAGTTCCAAAATAATTGTGAAACCACCCACTGACACTCTAAAAGATAGGCCAGGTAGCTCACACCTAGAATCCCAGCACTTTGGGAGGCCGCGGTGAGAGGATTGCCTGAACTCATGGGTTCGAGACCCGCCTGGGCAACTTGGTGAGACCTCATCCCTACAATAAATTTAAAAATTAGCCAGGCATGGTGGTGCATGCCTGTAGGCCCAGCTATTTGGAAGGCTGAGGTGGAAGGATCACCTGAGCACACCAGGTCGAGGCTATAGTGGCCATGAGCGTGCTGCTGCACTCCAGCCTGGGTGACAGAGTGAGAGAAAAAAAAAGAAACTCTAAAAGACATTCACACTTCATCCCGAAACGTGATATTTACTCCACCTCACTTCCAGGAGTATACTTCAAGCCCCGCAAAAACTAACTTTACATAGATTCGAGTAAGAAAACAACAGAAACAGAAAACACCCCACAGAATGAAGCTTAAACCTGTTTTATTTTTGTACATGCCTATTTTATCTCCCCTAATTTTTGACAGTATTTGGGAACGTGAATTCCCATATTTTCATCTTAAAAATAGTCACTTTTTGAAAAGTCATAGTGGTCATATTTCAGTTTGGTCATTCTTCCATTTCAGTTACTGTTAGGCTTGAACTGATTTGAAGTCTGGATTTCTTTAGAGCCCTGAAGAAATCCTGGGTCTCCAGGCCACGGCTGGGAGGGGGAAAGGGCCGAGAAAGAGACTCTCCCGGAAGGTGTGACCCCACATACGTGGGACTCCCGCACCAAAGGATGTTTCCATCTTCACACTAGCACTCCACAGGCAGATGTGCGGGAAATCTTAATCTTCCCCTTTCTGACCATTTAAAAGAATCAGTTAAGTGACTGAGAAAGACAAACCACCACTTACAGTTTCTTTAAAGGACGCGTTCAGCCAGCGATTGTTTACCACATTCTGAATGGAGGTGGGTGGGTTTTCTAAATCTTCAAAGGAATCCATTAATATAAAATCCAGAACAACGTCATAAAAATTTAGATTTTTCACCTGCATTAAATGATGAGTTAAAACAAATTATTATTATATAGAGCTAAAATAAAATCTGAGTCAAGGCTTCACAGCTTATAACGTAGGGTGTCTTGAGCTGCATCAGATTATTCAATATAAAAATAAAAAAAGTGAGCCGGGCTCGGTGGCTCAGCCTGTAATCCCGTGCCTTTGGGAGGCTGAGGTGAGTGGATTGCCTGAGCTCGCGGGTTCGAGACCCTCCTGGGCAACTTGGCGAGACCTCATCTCTACAATAAATCAAAAAAAATTAACCGGGCGTGGTAGCGTGCACCTGTAATTCCGGCTACTGGGAAGGCTGAGGCGGAAGGATCGCCGGAGCCCAGCGGGTCGAGGCTGCGGTGGCCAGGAGCGGCCACTGCACTCCAGTCTGGGCAACAGAGTGCGACTCCAACTCAAAAAAAAAATAAAAAATAAAAAATAAAAAGAGCGAAGACAGAAATGTGAAAACTCTCCACCAGAAATGATAACACATGGCAGCTGCTCCTTCCTACACCTCACAAGTGACACGAATCTCTTCCCCTCTCTGTTCTGGGATCCCTTGGTTCATGCCTCCACGACAGCGTCCACATCGCTCATTCTGCTGTGATTTGGTTTCTGAGGCATCCACTTGTTTCCTGTTTCCCCATGAGATCACGAACTCTTGCTCCTCTCATTCATGCACACACACTGCATTGTGCCGTGAATACATGAAAGAAGGTGTGAATGGCACGCCGTGCCAGGCCTCAGACTTGCACAGTGAGCAAGTCAGATAGACGCCCGGAGTCTGGCAGGGCAAACAGCACAAGGTCATCCTGCAAACAGCCAATCCCAGGCCGTGACACACGCCAAGAGGGACAGGTAAATGGTGCCCAGAGCTTCTGATGGAGACTCGGGTTTTTTTTTCACGACAGATGGGTGGATGTACTGACGTCATAGCCAGGTCTGAGGGCAGCACGCCTCACACATGCCTGGGAGAACCCAATCTTCCTGCTTACGAACCACAGAAGGATTGAGATCCTGATTTTCAGCTGGATTGAAGCGAGAGCTTCCTTCAGAGGGGAAGGCATCCCAGGAAGGGAAGACACCTGTCCGAGACCAGGGGGTAAGAAGGAAGGTGTGATGCCGCACGGGAGGAAATCACAGAAAGGGTGCTATAGCCCTCCAGCAGGAAAGGCAGGGCCAGCGGAAAGGAGAGGGCTGTCGGGGGCTGGAGGTGGCGGAACAAAACGGATAGTCAGATCCGTGTCTTTTAAAGGTTGCCTGACAGCAGTGTGGACAATGTGATGGAGAGGAGGGAGGGGGCTGGTGGTGATCAGAACACAGAATCTACTAAGGCAGTCCAGGGAAAAGACGCCAGGACTCAGGTCAAGATGGTGGCAGGGACAGAGAGACGCTGCGTGGAAAGGTATCGGAGTCGGCGCGGACCAAAGCTCGAAGTGAGTGGGAAGAGGCGGTGAGCATCGGGGTGGGGTGCAGCGCGTGCGGCCTTCTGCTGCGGAGCCAAAGGGATGCTGACTCGCTCCCTGAGGGAGGCAACTGAGAGAAGGAAGAGGCCGTCTCCATGGAGCTGGGCCTGCAGTGCTTCCTGGTGGAATGCCCTGGAGCGCCCTGCAAGCGCATGCCTTAGGCCTCCAGCACAAGGGCTGTGGGAGCACCCTGGACTTCCCCGCCCCCAGGGCTGAAACCGGCTGTTCTTCCAAGGAGTCCTGGCTCCTTTCTGCAGAGTGGGAGCTGGAAACCGGGTCTGTGTGCCAGGAGGATTTCTCTTGAGGTGCTGCTGTCTCAGACCCTCCAGTAAACAGAGGTGGAACTGACACGCATGTTTGTGCCACGCGAGCCTTCACATCCACTTTCATCTCTTCCATCTGATCTAAATATGTATCATCAACTACCCATGCACTCTGGCAGTCCCAGTCCCAAGCCCAACTTTTTTGCCTCCCTTCTCTGACAGTGGCCATCTGGTTCTGATTTTTCTTTTCTTTTTTTTTTTTTGAGTTGGAGTCTCACTCTGTCGTCCAGACTGGAGTGCAGTGGCCACTCCCGGCCACTGCAGCCTCGACCTGCTGGGCTCCGACGAGCCTTCCGCCTCAGCCTTCCAACTAGCTGGAACTACAGGCGCGTGTTACCACACCCAGCTAATTTTTTTGATTTATTGTAGAGATGAGGTCTCACCAAGTTGCCCAGGTGGGTCTCGAACCCGCGGGCTCAGGCAACGCACTCACCTCAGCCTCCCAAGGCGCGGGATTACAGGCTGAGCCACCAAGCCCGGCTCTGGTTTTTCTTATGTGTTTATTTGCTAAATCCTGTGTATGTGGCCAGTCTGTGGTCCACTGAGCTGCCCTGCCGTCCACTCCTAGACTGGCCTTGACAGGCCATGTGACGGCCCTCCCAGGGCCCTGCCGCTTGACTCTGGGCAGAAGGATGGAGGGGAAGGAGGAAGGATGGAGCCAATGAAGGAGAGGAAGGCGGCTAAAAACAGTTATCAACAACTCTCGTCCCAACGTGTAGAGTGTGCTTGCTGTGGTCTTTACTGTTATTTATCGAGGACAAGGAGACAGTAGCCTCAACTCATGTAAATAATTCATGCACATAACTAAGGGGAATACATATCATAAAACACTGGAACTTACCCCTCTAGCAGCAAGTTCCATTTCAGTACTATCCCAGTGATCAGTCTGCTCTAAAAAGTAGATCATTTCGTCAAAAACATCTTCAAACTTCTTTGGATTCTGCAGAAGAAAATGCATTTTTAACCCTAAATTCAACTTTATAACAAAGCTCAAGCCTACAATGTAAATAAGTGGCTTCTCAAGTGTGTTGGATCTTAATTCTACTAGGTAACAGAACTAGCTACATTTTCAAGGTGTGCTCAATGTCTCTGGTTTACTATTTTTTTTCTTTTTTGAGTCGGAGTCTCACTCTGTTGCCCAGGCTGGAGTGCAGTGGCATCCTCACGGCTACCACAGCCTCAACCTGCTGGGCTCTGGCGATCCTTTTGCCTCAGCCTTCCAAGTGGCCATGCCCAGCTAAGTTTTTGATTTATTGTAGAGACGAGGTCTTGCCAAGTTGCCGAAGTTGGTCTTGAACCCATGGACTCAGACAATCCGCTTGCCTTGGCCTCCCAAATGGTTTTGTTGTTCCAATATTTTGCAGAAGCCAAGAGCAAGCGTGTTAGTGAATGTCACCAGCCAACTGCTTATTGCTCAAGTGTGTACGCCTGCTTAGGTCAGTCCTTAAAACGAAAACTTGGTTACAGCAGACACCAGGTGACGCTTTGGGGACAACCGTGCTCCTGTGGAGGATTCTGGTGCAGACCACGGTGTTCATCCACCATGGACAGCCAAGGAAGCAGCAGAAGTTCGCATGGGAACCTCCGTGCCCTTGGGCAGCACACGCTCACGGGCCGAGAGGGGTTCGGGGAGCTGCAGGCAGTCACCATCGCCGACGCGCAATCAGCACTTTATTCTTGAACTTGCCTTCCCATTTATCACTTACTTAATCATCACAACACCTCTCTGAAACAGAGTAATATCCACAAAATTCTATTACTGAGCTGAGAGGACTGAGCTCAGGGGGTTGGGTCTGAAAGGTGCCAAGGGCCCAGGGAAGGCCGGCTTTGCTGTGTTCTGTCTCATCGCCACCTGACAAACCTCGCATCATGCAAAGGCATTCCCTCCAGTCTGAATTTCTTGTCACTGCTTCTGCCTTACTCAGTTCCATGAAGATGAGTACATGTAAGAGTCAGCACCATTTTCATTCCAGATTCCGGAGAGGATTATTCCAAGAACTCTCTTCCTCAACAGGATGGAGGGAAGGAGGAGAGGTCTGGTGAGGGTACAGTGGCGGCTGCAGCAGGTCTCAGATGACCCTTACAAGGACGGTCACAGACTTTACTGCATTGGGAATAGCTTCTGAGAAACCACTTGGCCACAGCGGTGTGGACTTCACACACAGAAAATAGCCAAGTAGAAATCAAGGCTCTTTGGGCTGTTTATTTTTTAAATTTGAACCTTTGCAACTATCCATAAACACTTTTTGTTCTATCAGAAATTTAATGTATTTTAACCTTCAGCTCAATACAAACAATAAAACACCTTTCCCACCAAAAAAGCTCACCTTTCGTGCTTTCACAATCAAAGCTGATAAAATTTTCCTTCCGCTCTCAGCAAGGAATATCCTATTGGCTGTTTCTGAAAGAATTACCTGAAAAAATATTCATCCCCAAAGAAAAAAGAGACAGCAATGAATCTGGACAGTGTCACAGTGCATCTAGATACATGCCACCCTCTGCAGTGACGCACTGCACATGGTGCCATTTCACCAGGCAGACCCAAGTCCTAACTTACTAATAGGAAAAGAACTTTAAAACCCATAGCCAAAAACAGATGAAAGGGAGATATTTGAGTTTAAATTCTGATCAACAAACAATAGAAAGTCTAAAACAAATTTTATATAGCACCCAAACATAAGAAAACCCAGATACTTTGTTATTAAATGAACTTATTTCTTGTTAAGAAATCAACACTTTTATAACAGACTCAAATCAAATTTAGAATCCACATTAATTAATCATAAGACAGAGGTTTTTTTTGTTTGTTTGTTTTTTGTTTTTTGTTTTTTTTTAGTTGGAGTCTCACTCCATCGCCCAGAATGGAGTGCAGTGGCACGCTCCCGGCCACCGCAGCCTCAACCTGCTGGGGACCGGTGATCATTCCGCCACAGCCTTCCAAATAGCTGGAACTACAGGCGCACACTACCACGCCCGGCTAATCTTTGGTTTATTGTAGAGATGAGGTCTCGCCAAGTTGCCCGGGCGGGTCTCGAACCCACGGACTCAGGCAATTCACTCACCTCGGCCTCCCAAAGCACTGGGATCACAGGCTGAGCCACTGAGCCAGGTCAGAAAGAAGGTTTTTATTTCAAGCAGCCATTTTTACACACCCACAACATCATAATATCCTATTTTGACAAAGTGTGGTGGACTTGGGACCCAGAGGGAGAGGACAATGACAAGGGAGAAAAATGAAAGGATGCAGGTGTGGAGAGGGGGGTAAACTGAGTAACTTTGTACTTGCCCCTAGGAACAGGGGCGGGAGGGCGGCGAGCTATCCTGGTGACAAGCACGCGGGACCCCATGGCATGGGGGGTCAGAGGAGTCGCTCAGTGTTCGAAATACCTGAAAAGCCTGTCGGATGCAGTGAAGTTTGGCAAGAAAATCGCTGTCTCCCAGGCACTCCAACATCTCAGTCCTGCACAAGCAGAGGGACAATGGTTACGCGGCATTCAAGACCACGTGACTGCAGAACTGGCTCTAACACAATGTAACCTCAGGGTCTTAGCATGAGACATGTGTCTTTTCAATACTGACACAGCGTGTAAAAAACAATTTCACTTGGACCTAAAAACATACTTTTCTCTATTCTCATAAACATCTTAAATACATATTGCACCAACAACTTAACATACTTCAAACACATAAGCCCGATGGAATGGTACCTCAGGACTCTTGAGTAAACTTTTCCTTCTTCAACTAAGTGCATGGCTTCCTCGTAGAAAGGGCAGTGGCAGAGAGACTCCAGGCCGTAGGCATGCCGCCCGTCTCTGTGTTCTGCAAGCTGAGATGACAGTGGGTTAATACATGCTACAAGGACATGAGAAAAACTATGAGAGGAAGAAAACAGGACTGACTCACATCAAATGCGCTGAATCTGACGAAACCATAAAAATCACTCAATAGCATTTTACAATGAATAAGATCTGAATTCATCTTTTCAAAAACTCAGTTGCTAAAAAGAGTACAACTTTATAACAAGCTTAGTTCATTTAAAATCCAATTACTTAAATCCACAGAGCACAGAAAAGTGATACTATATCTTACAGTTCACCAATAAGAATAACTGAAGAAATAGCATTTTTTAAAAAGAGGAGGATTTTGTCATCCAAAAAATACTTAAAACTATCACTCCTAGCCAGGTTCGGTGGCTTAGCCTGTAATCCCGTGCTTTGGGAGGCTGAGGTGAGTGGAATGCCTGAGCCCATGGATTCGAGACCCGCCTGGGCAACTTGGCAAGAGTTCATCTCTACAATAAATCAAAAAAATTAGCTGGGTATGGTAGCACGTGCCTGTGATTCCAGCTACTTGGAAGGCTGAGGCGGAAGGATCGCCGGAGCCCAGCAGGTCGAGGCTGTGGTGGCTGGGAGCGGCCACTGCACTCCAATCTGGGTGACAGAGTGAGACTCCTACTCAAAAACAAAACAAAACAAAAAAACTATCACTCCTGACTGTAAATGAAGCAAAACTTTCCACAAAAGCTAAATAAGCTCAACTTGGCTACTAAATCATTTTTTGTTATATGTAGCTTTGATTAATCTTTGTCTCACTGAAAAAGAGTCACGTGCTTCTGGCTAGCATTCTACAAATGGAATTCTAGTCTTCTGACAGTTCATTAAAAAAACAACAGCAAACACTATACAGTAACCAGCTAAGCAAAAAACAAAAATGAAAAACTTCTTCCAGACGGACACAGTGGCTCATGCTTGTAACACAAGAACTTCGAGCGGCTGCGGTGGAAGGACGGCTTGAGGCTAGGAATTTGAGGCCAGCCTCGGCAACACAGCAAGAACCAGTCTCTACAAAAAATAATTTTTAAAAATTTGCCAGGCGTGGTGGTATGTGTCTGTAGTCCTAGCTGCTTGGGAGGCCGAGGCAGGAGGATCATTTGAGCCCAGGAGTTTGAGGCTACAGTGAGCTATGATCGCACCACTGCACTCTAACCTGGGTGACAGAGCCTGTCTCTTGAAAAGAAATAATAAATAAACTAACCACAACAGAAAATGACTACACACTAACAAAACATAGGAAGGGGGATGAAAAAGAAAAAGAAAAAGAAGAAAGAAAAAACTTCTAGAGTGAATTTCTTTCCCAATACCAGGTCATTCATTTAATGGCATGCTGTACTTTTTGGGTTTTTCAAAATCACAGTTTTACTGAGATATAATTCACGCCATAAAATTCAACCTCCAAGGTATACAGCTGGCTTTTGTGGGACCCCTGCCACCTTCCGATTCCAGAACAATTTTCCACCCATAGGAAACCCCCACTCCTCAGCAGACACTCCTAACTTCCCCTTCTCCCTTGTCCTGGGAAACCACTAACACTAAGCAGTTTCCTTCTCTGAAAATTCCATGCAAGTGGAGTCCAGCAGTGTGTGGCTTTTGTAATTGGCTTCTTTTTTTTTCATTTGAGCAGGAATCTCACTCTGCCGCTCAGGCTCAGGCCACGGCATGCTCACGGCTACCTCAGCCTCAACCTGCTGGGTTCAAGTGATCCTTCCTCCTCAGCCTTCCAAGTAGCTAGAACTACAGGCGCGCACCACCTCACCCGGCTATGTAACTGGCTTCTTACACCTCGCACAAGTTCCCCAGGTGTGCCCACAGTGTGGGCATACATCAGGACTTTACCTCCTCTAGAGCTAAATGAGACTCCCCGAAAAGAAACACAACCCTTGGTTTATCCTTACAACTGATGGACATCTGGACTGTTGCCACCTCTTAGCTGCCATGCTTAAGGCTGCCCTGAGCATCTGTGTACAAGTTTTTGTGTATATATGCTTTCAATTCCCCTGGTATACACCCAGAAATGAAAGGGTCAGATGGAAACGCCATGATTTTTTTTTTTTTTTTTTTGAGTCGGTGTCTCACTCTGTTGCCCAGGCTGGTACACCCACAGCCACCGCAGCCTCAACCTCCTGGGTTCAGATGATCCTTCCACCTCAACCTTCCAAGTAGCTGGAACACCTGGGCATGCACCACCATGCCTGGCTAATTTTTTTTTTAATTTATTGTAGCGATGAGGTCTCACCAAGTTGCCCAGGCTGATCTTGAACCCATGGGCTCAGACAATCCCCTTACCTTGGCCTCCCAAAGTGCTGGGATTACAGGCTTGAGCCACCACGTGGGCCTGGCCCACGTCAGCAATATTTAGGGTAGTATAAAGTATCTGTTGAATGTGGAAGTGACAGTGTCTGATATTATGTATTTTCTGCATTAAGCCACATTTCCCCTTTATTTTAAGGAACAAATGGTATAGTAAAGACAAAGTCTTTTTCAGGTTTAAAAAAAAAACATTAATTGCTTTTAGAAAATATCTTAGACTGGGGAGTCTTGAGCTATTACATAGCTGTAAAGTTTTGTGCCATCGTCAGAACAAATAGGGCCACGTGCACCTGCTATTAGAGAAGCGTCCTCGGAGGAACCTGAGTTCCGGCCAAACTCGCTCCACGCAGTCACTTACACTGAGACGTGAACAAGCCCAACGAGGAGCGAGTCCAGAGCTGAGCCTTGATTTACTGGTCTACACTGCGTATCTGTTGGTTTGGCCCAAGTACTCGTTTAAATAAGCCTCCTAAAATAGCCTGCAGCTGTGAAAACACATCATCTGAAAGATTTGATACTAGCTAGCACTACCGTCAACTCTTATTAGGAGACAATGACAACATAGAAACATGGATTTAAGTCATTGATCTTAAATCTTTTAAAGCAAAAAGCAACTCACTAACTATCAGTTTAAATTCTCATTTTAGAATACAACTGAGAGGAAAAAATTTTCAACAAAATTCCCAAAACTTTTTTAAAAGGTTTAAGAACAAAATGAACAGCTGAGATGTTACTTCAGAAGCAGAGGTCAATAGTATGGTTTAATCCTAACTATAAAAATATGCAATTTACCATGAAAGGATTTTTTTTGCTAGCTAAAATGAAATGTCCTATATTTCCAAATTATTCTTCCCCTGAAGGGTACTTTTCAAAAACTCATTTCAATATTTTCCAAAAGAAAAGCAATGCGATATTCATTTACACTGAAGTTTCTGTCTGACTAGATCTCTCCTGTGACCACAAGCAGCATCAGTGACCATGAAGGAAATTAAACAGGTTGCAACAACAGCAACAATGAAGAGAGATAAACGAGACAAGTCCCACAGACGAGCAGCCAGTGAAAACAGCGTCTAGGGATCAGCCAAAGATGTCACACATCCTGAATTCGTGATGACTTTGCTGAATGTGAAGCGACCTTTTCTAAAACCCTTTATCAACAGTCCAGACCAGGGCCTCTGAATGAGCACGAATGGAATGGCCTAAGTGTCGAAACTGTTATAAGTAAGGTCAGGAGACAGGTTCAGTCCCATTGTATGATGAACCATTTTTTATTTATTTACATTCTGCTTTCAAATCAATCACCCAAAATTACAAATAAGACAGTCAAAGAAAGCAAGCTGTATCCCTAAGAGAAAACAGAAAAGAAATTTAGAAGGGAATAAACCTACAGTCGCCACCCTCCAACCTGGTCCTGAATGACTCTCTCTCCCTAGTGACTTAAGACCTCACCCGAAACGGGACAGGGCTAACCTGTGTCACCAACAGTGTAACGTGGAAATGCCAGAGCGTGACCTGTGACCTGGTGATAAGCCATTGCTTCCACCTTGCTCACTCTCGGGTCATTCCCTCTGGGGGAAGCCAGGTGCCAAGCTGTAGAGATCCTCACACCGTCCTACAGAAAACTCCATGTGGTGAGAAACAAGCAGCACCAACTTGCCACTCATGTGAGAGATATCTTGAGAGCGCCTACAGCTCTTGTCAAGCCTTCACTTTCACAGGAAAAGCATCTGTGTCTGTCTGTCTGTCTATCTATCTATCTATCTATCTATCTATCTATCTATCTATCTATTTATCTATCTATCTATCTACCTACCTATCTATCTATCCATCTATCTACCTACCTACCTACCTACCTACCTACTGATCTATCCATCTATCCATTGGTCTATCGTCAGGGTCTCACCCTGTTGCCCAGGCTGGAGTGCAGTGGCATGGTCATGGCTCACCACAGCCTCAATCTCCTTGGTTCGACCTCTGCCTCAGCCTCCCACGTAGCTGGCACTACAAACACACACCATCATACCTAGCTAACTTTTTGCAAAGGCGAGGTCTCGCTATATTGCCTAGGCTGTTCTAAACGCCTGGGCTCCAGCAGTCCTCCCACCTTCGCTCCCCCAAGTGCTGGGATTACAGGCATGAGCCACCGCGCCTGGCCAGAAGAAAAATTTTAGACGATAGCTACATCCCTCTTGTTTCATATGATGCCTTCCCTAGCTATTTATCTTTGCCACACTGTGTATCATCACTGGTATACTGCTTGGATTGCTATAAGCAAGTGCTGTCAAGTCTGAGAGGCAGATAAAGCAGAAGTCTTGAGGCTTCCATTTACAGCACAAGCAGAGGTGTCTCAATTACCGAAAGGAAAATCTTCTGAGAGAAGTTTGCAATTTATACATTACATGCATATACACTTTGCAGAGTGGCAATTCTGAGAATGATGAAATCTATTGATAGAGCTAGCCGGGTGCAGTGGTTCACCTGTAATCCCAGCACTTTGGGACGCCGAGGTGAGAGGACTGCCTGAGTTCAGGGGTTCAAGGACAGCTGGGGCAACTCGGCAAGACCTCGTCTTTACAATAAGTCAAGGAGAATTAGCCGGGCATGGAGGCACATGCCTATAGTTCCAGCTCCTTGGAAGCCGAGGTGGAAGGATTGCCCGAGCCCAGCAGGCCGAGGCTGCGGTGGCTGTGAGCATGCCACTGCCCTCCAACCTGGGCGACAGAGTAAGACTCTGACTCAAAAAAAAAAAAAAACCATACAGCTAAAAACTATTCTCTGCAATATTAGTTTCTACCTATCAAATGACAATCTCTTCACCAGATGGAAGGGTTGGCCGTACATTGTGATGGTCTCCAAACATGAACAAGACTTTCCAGAACTTGAAAAAAAGCATTATGATAAGTGAAGAAAAGCCGAGCATAACAACCCACATCATGCGATGCCGGTCATACGAAGTGTCCAGAGTCAGAGGGAGGTAACCAGGAGCCAGGGAAGGGGACGGGGGCCATGGGGTGTGACACTGGCAGGGATGGGTTTGTTTCTGGGGGTAATAAAAGTGTTCTGGAGTCGGAAAGTCGTGCTGGCTGGACAGCTCTAGGAATCCACTACAAACCCCTGAACTGCACGCTTTCAAAGGGGGGTTATGGCATGTGAGCTATATCTCAGTCTACTGTATTTTTTTTAAACAGACTTTTCAGCGGTGGTTCCAAACCAACGTTTGGCAAAGCTTACATAGGAAAATCTTGTGAATCACTTTCACAATTGATTGACCCAGCTTAGAGGCGAGCCTATGCCAGGAATTGTTTTCATTGAAACAGGCAAGAAATCTTTTTGGTAATTTTGAAACAGTTTTCAAATGATTCAAAACTGTTTAACTTCCCAGAGAGCTCTGATCTTAATAACTTTCTTCATTAAATAGTTTTTCCTAATTTAACTTTAAATGATTAGCAGATAGTAAATGCAGTTAAAAATAATTTGCAAACATTTCTTATAACATAAAAGAATTCATCTTGGAACATTCACATTCTGAGATCACATGTTTATACCCTAGAAGCATTCCTATGATGTTTTTGGACATTGAGTCCTCTTTGTGTATATTCATGTATTTTTGTTTTCCATGCAGATTGAGTAATTTGTATTAAACGTTATTAAACAACAAATTTAAAGCGAATACGATGAACACTTAATTATCCTTTAAAGTTACATCTTAGAAATATTAGTTGCAAATTTAGAGCCATTAGGTATATTGTTCCTCAGAGTGGAAAAACACAAAGTGAACAGCAGTTTTCTCTTTACAAACCATCTGGGACAGCGTCCACAAAACAGAAAGATAAGTCTATATGGAACAGTAAATGGAAGAGAAGCAGTCTTCCCATAGAAGGAGGGGATATATTCTGTCTACTACAAAAATTTTTTTTTTTTTTGAGTTGGAGTCTCCCTCTGTTGCCCAGGCTGGAGTGCAGTGGCATGCTCAGGGCCACCGCAGCCTCGACCTGTCGGGCTCAGATGATCCTTCTGCACCCGCCTTCCAAGGAGCTGGAACTACAGGCACGTGCAATCACGCCCAGTTAATTTTTTTATTTATTGTAGAGACAAAGTCTCGCCAAGTTGCCCAGGCTGATCTCGAACCCAAGGGCTAAGGCAATCCCCCACACCTCAGCCTCCCAAAGTACTGGCATTATAGGCTTGAGCAAAAATATTTTTCATGTAAACAAGTCAGGAAATGGTACAAAATTCAAATCTCAGCCAAAAACAAAGCACCCAGAGATGTGTGGTTAGTGATCATCTCTGTTTATTTGTAACTAGTCTTTTTCTCTGCCTATACAGTATAGCACACACCTCTTCTGTTTCTTTTTACAAAGTTACGATCATAGACTTTATGTAAAACTTTATTCGCTGCTCTTTTCAATTAATGCATGCTCCCGTGTAATTAAAAATGAATGGAGGCCGGGCGTGGTGGCTCAAGCCCATAATCCCAGCACTTTGAGAGGCCAAAGTGAGAGGACTGCCTGAGCCCGTGGGTTCGAGCCCAGCCTGGGCAACATGGTGAGACTTATCTCTACAATAGATCAAAAAATTAGCTGGGCATGGTCGTGCACGTCTGTGGTTCCGGCTACTTGGAAGGCTGAGGCAAAAGGATCACCTCAGCCCAGCAGATTGAGGCTGCAGTGGCCAGGAATGTGCTACTAACTTCAGTGTGGGCAACAGAGCAAGACTCCAATTAAAAAAAAAAAATGAATGAAAACATGTTTATGATGCTATAATATTTCAAATTATGGGCTTACCATAATTTGGTATTAGAGTATTTTCAGTTTTTTGTTATTACAAAAATGCCACAGTGAATATTTTCATATATCATCTTTGAATCTGATCACTTTCTTGGAACAAATATCTATAAGTATGATTTCTGAACTTTTTTTTTCCTTCTTTAAACATTTTAAAATTATTTCTTTATTTTTGAGCCGGGGTCTCATTTTGTCACCCAAGCTGGAGTGCAGTGGCACGATCACAGCCTCAAACTCCTGGGCTCAGATGATCCTTCTGTCTCAGACTCTCGTGTAGCTGGGATTACAGACGCCCACCAAGGCACCTAGCTAATTTTTTTATTTTTTGTAGAGATGAGGTCTCCTTATGTTGCCCAGGTGGGTCTCAAACTCCTGGGCTCCAGCAATTCTCCCACCTCGGCCGTCTAAAAGTGCTAGGATTACTGGCATGAGCCACCGTGCCCAGCCTGAACATTTTCAAGATCCTTGATATAAGTTGAAACATTCTTTCCATTAAGATACTAATTTATATGCCTCCCCCGAAGTCTGTAGTATGGAACTGCCCATCTAAAATATATGTTTACGTGTCTACCTCCTTAATCCCGTGTCTTTGGGAGGCCGAGGTGAGTGGATTGCCTGAGCCTGCGGGTTCGAGACCCGCCCGGGC